TGCTCCATCTGTTCAAAAAGGGCTCGGATCAGAGGTGTATTGCCTGAGTTAGCTGGAAGGTAACATTTTCAACGAGCCTCGACAATCCTCCAATCCGGCAAAGAGTTCCATCAATCAAGTCAAGGTGAGATCGAAGCTTGTGATGGTAGCAATTGAAAGACACACTATTCATTGTTACTTGATAACTCTGCAGCACCCTCTGGTGGCTGAATGGAAGTTTGTACATATGCGTATGCATAATACAACCAAATACAGGTATGTGGTTAAATGCATGTATTGTTGCTTTTTATTGTGTTTGAAAATGTAATTTGTATTACATACATGTATTAATTATAATTGCTTGCTTGCTAATGTTCTATATATTTGTATTTTTTTTTTTAATTCTTTATTTGTTCCAAAACAGGACATCAACTCCAGGGAGGCCTGACTGGTGAAAAGCACACAATGAGTTGTGTCACCTTATTGATTCCATTTATCTTGCCTAACTCATATTTGCCCGTCCTCAAAAAGAAGTGAGTTTGGGAGAAGCGGTCCCTAGCTTATCTTTACGTTGCTCTGAGTGATACTATTTCAGGTATGTATGCTTGGTCCAGTCTGCAGTTTTAGTCGCTAACTGTACTATTGATCCAAGGGTCCCAAATCTTTTCAAATTTCTTTGTAGTTCCTCTGACCTGAGCTGTCAATTTGTCCATTAAAAAAGTATCCTTTATTGTATGTTTTATTATTGCTATCGTAGGAGTGTTTTTCTGTAGCCAATCCTGCGCTAGGGCTCGCCTTGCGGCTAGGTTTATTTTGTGGATAAGGTTTTGTTCCATCCTTGTCCAATCATCTATGGATCTGGACAATAGGAACACCCACAGATCTAGTTTTACCTCCCTGCCGAACACATCTCGCAGCAATGCTGCGATCTGCTTCCAGTATGTCTGCACCACTGGACATTCCCACCACATGTGGATATATGTACATTTCTGGCCGCACCCCCTCCAGCACAGGTCTGTCGGGTTCTTACACATGCGTAAGAACGTATCCTGAGGATGTTGCAGCCGCCTCCCATATTTCCTGCCATTCAACCCCCTCTAGCACTTCATTCAAATCTGCTTCCCACTTATCAATGTACGTAATGTCTCCCCATTCCAGAGTGTAAGTACTCAGGTGAGCATAAAAATAGGAGATTAGGCCGCTCGGGAATTGTTCCCTGGAACACATCCTTTCAAAAAACGTCAATGGCGTCTGCGCTGCTTTTTTTATCTCGGGCATAATCTCTGAGCTGAAGGTATCGAAAGTAGTCTTTAGTGTCTCAAATGTGACAAAGGAATCGTTGTCAAACAATTGGAATAGCCTGCGGCTTCGAGACCCCAAAAGTTCCTAGCCTACATGCCCGGGAGAAAATCTCTATTTCTCAAGAACGGGGTCATTGGAGATAGGGTAGATGTCAGGCCATATTTGATGGCAGCTGTGTCCCAGACTCTGAGAGAGGCCTGTACTGCTTGACAAGGTGCTCTGTCCAGAGATCTGAGTTACTTAGGGATCCATATGAGGAATTGGGGGAGGTCCATTAGAGAGGACTCCAAGTCTACCCATCTCATTTTCACCGAATGTATTCTCCCGATCCACGAAATTGGTTTGTCTACCCACGTCTCCATATCCTGTATTAATGTCCTGATAAGTGGTATGTAATTCTGTTGGTGCAAAAGAGAGGGATCCGCCGTTAAGCAGATTCCCAAATATTTAATATGATCTTTCGCGATATGTATCTGATATGTCCTCCCTATATGCGCCGTGTCTGCATCGCTCATCCCTATGGGGAGTGCACTCGATTTATGTAGGTTGACTCTGTATCCAGCCACTATGCCATATTCCGTCAGTATCCTCGTCAGAGCAACCATAGACTCCAGTGGGTCCGTCAGTGCGCCCTGACGTTGGTGTATAAAGCTTGAATGGTTGTGATAAACCGGGCTGGCATGCCAAAATAGTGCAACGTCTCGAAAAGGAACGGCCATTTGACTCAGTCGAACGCTTTTTCGGCGTCTAAGGACAGCATCAATGTTGGGGTTCGCAGCCTAGCTTGTCTTCCTATGTTGCGCCTCGTATTTTCGAACAGTTGCCTACCCGGCACGAAGCCCATCTGGTCTGGGTGGACCAGGCGAGTGAGAATTGGGTTTAGTCTAATCGCTAACACTTTGGCCAAGATTTTGGCATCATGGTTAATTAATGAAATTGGTCGAAAATTCTCTGGTATTGAGTCATCTTTACCCGGATTAGGTAGTAAGACTATGTTCGCTAGTGACATTTCCTGGTCTGGGGTCCCCCCGTCCTGTAGGTCGTTGAACCATGCTTCAAGGTGGGGTAGTAGTTCCTCCCTAAATGTCTTTTAGTAGCTTCCATCGAAGCCATCCGGACCAGGTGCCTTATTGCTTTTTAGGACCGAGATCGCTGCGCCTATTTCCTCTGCTGTGATCTGGGTTTCGAGTGTTGCCACAGCCGCCTTGCCCAGCTTTGGAAGAGGAATTCCAGAGAGGAACTCTCGTATCCCATCCAATTCCCCTTGCGGGTTTGTATCCGCCCCTTGCGAGTGATTATATAATGCGGTGTAAAACCCTGTAAACACTTTGGCAATTTCTGTGGGATTCGTTTGGTAGATTCCCGCTGCATTCCTAATCTTCGTGATATGTGTGTTCCGTTGTCGCGGCCTCAGTGCTCTTGCCAGCAAAGTATCCATTTTATTGGCCTTTCCATAGAAGGTCTGCCTAGACCAAACTATGGCTCTCGTAGTGTCGTCGAGGAGCGTTACTCGTATAGCATATCTGGCGTCTTGCACTGTCTTTTAGTTAATGTGTGAGGGGTCCGATTTATGCCGTTGCTCTGCCATTCTCAAAGCATCTAGCTGAGATGCCACTAATTGAGCTTTTCTACGTTTCTTGAGTGTCGCTTCTCTAATCAATATACCTCTAATGACAGATTTGTGTGCCGCCCATATTATAGCTTTTGACACCCCGATGCTGCTTCCCTAAGAAAGTAGTCATTTAGTTCCCTGCGAACAATCTCAACTATTTCCGCGTCCTGCAACAGTGATCTGTTCAGCTGCCAAGACCATGGGGTCGCCGCGCTTAACTTATCTAGGGTGATAGAGATGTCCGCATGATCCGACCACGTTATGGATCCCACGGAGGACTCCGAGACCCTATTAACAACTTGGGGGTTTACTAAAAAGAAATCAATTCTGGAATAAGTGTCATGTGGCTGCGAGTAAAACGTATAGTCCTTCTCATCTGGGTGTTGAGCTCTCCAAATATCTATAAGGCCTGATTGTTGTATGAATGTGTGCAATAGTTTGTCTTGTCCGCCCCTTCTGTGAGACCGGGGGATTCCTTTACAGGGTCCCCTGTCAACTGCCGGGGATGGAGCCGCATTAAAATCACCCCCCACTATCACCATTCCCTTCGGAAGTGTGTTGATAGTGCGAGTAAGGTCCGCCCAAAACTCCTTGGACGGATCGTTGGAAGCATACAAATTGAGGATATGGATCGCGTGTGAATACAGGGATCCTGACACTAATACAAAGCGTCCCCCTGGGTTGATTGTAACTCTGCTAATTCTGATCGGGCATCTCCGATGTATTAGGATGGCAACGCCATTCCTCTTATTGAGGGCTCTCGCTTCATCCGTGGTGTTGTATGTAGAATCTTTGAGGGTGAATTTGGCCGTTTTAGGTAAATGTGTCTCCTGTATGAAGGCTATATCTGGATTCAGACACTTCAATTCCCTAAACATGAGCCGTCTTTTCTTAGGTGCATTCAAGCCCTTAACGTTCAGAGATACTAGCTTAATAGGCATGTTTAAGTCCGTGGTGTGCCGCTATAACAAAACATCTACCGCCCCCCGGAGGTCCACCTAAGCATATCATACACGTCTAAGATCCGTCGTCTCTCCTCCCTCCACCACCTGGCCAGTATACAATAGTGCCAGGTTTGGCTCCTCTACCCACGGACCGTTCCCTCCCCGAGACTGACCCCTACGGCACTCCCTCCCGGCAGACAGCACGATCGCTATTTGACCAAGGGTCCCCTCAAGAGTGGAAAATATTGGGCCCCGGCCAGACCGCTGGCAATTGCCCAAGATCTATCACCCCTACTGGGTTCACGAAAAACATTAGATCCCCTGCCATCCCATTCCCCACCTATACATATCCGTTATACGTAAAACACACAGTTACATATCGGGCATATAATCATAACAGTAGAAACATAATCACAGCGTCCTGGTCAGAAAAAAAAAGGTCCAGGTCGCCATGAACATCCCACACCCCTAAAACATGAGCCGAAGGGACTACGAGCCATACGCCCTCCGTAACAGGCATCAGTGCCGCACAGACCTAGCCCACCCAAGTGGGTAAGTATACCCGCAAATTCCCCCATTAGCTGTACCCCAAAGCCAAAACCGTTCCCCCCCCTTGGCTGAGTTAAAAAAAAAAAAAAAAATCCGACCGAATGGGGTGGCAAAATCTTTTTTGCCAAGGGCGGCAAACAAATCATTGCACTGGCACTGGCTCCAGATCCTGTCCCACCCCTCCTTGATCCAAGGTAAGCTTCAAGGAGGGTGGAATAGACGTTCTTATCTTTTTTTAAATCAAATTTTTTTAAGCAGCCCCACCACAGCCCCTGTCCCCCTCCTCTACAGCCCATGTGCCAGATCCTATCCCCCCTCCTCTCAGCCCATGCCCCCTGTTACGGCAAGGGTGCATAATTTATTATTACACTATGGAATATTATCCTTTAATGTAATTTGTGTAGTAAATGACACAAATTACAGAGATGGTATTGCTGAGGTCAAAAGCGGTTACATCTTTTGAAGCTGGGACCCCCACAGAGGTCATATGACAGAAGGGGTAGTATGAATGGTATAGCAATATGAAAAGGATTTTACTATATGGATGTGAAGTAATCAAGGCTCTGCAAGGTGTGAGGTTCTACACTTGGAAAAAGTCTGAATGTCTCTTCATCCATTTTGCATGTACCTTGTAAATTCAATTCTTTGATATGGTAATGGGATTAGCTTCATGAAGACCCTTGTGTTCCAGTATCATATCCAAGGGAAACATTAATACTTACCCACAGCTTAATAATTAAGCCTCATTTTTATTATATTTGGAATGGGACAAGCCCAATCTTTTAATTAAGCCTAAACATGAGTTACACAACTTAAACCGTGTGGCAGGAATTGTGATGTCCGTCCTATTGGATCATGGGTGGGACGTGCAACATGTCTATAGAATGGGAAAATAATAACAAAGTCATAGAGGCAATTATTATTTCTGTGGCTGGTACATAAGAGAAGATAGAACCAAATGTTTCCATTTGGATTGATCTGGGTCTGGACACGAGGGGGTGGTCACTTATTATTTCTGTAGGTACGCCTTAACTCCGCCTCTGGGTGAGGCGTGGTAACCCACAGGGTATATCTCTAATTATCCTGAAGGGTTCTGGTGTACTAGCTTGTAGCCAAGATCTAATTTTGAGTGAGTCGCCATCTTTCCTTGCCAGAGACCCCCTGGACAGAAGTTGTACTTTGAAAACCTAAGTGAGTAATACTCCTGTATTTTATCCTTTTTGTTTTTATCTGTTGTTGGTGCAAATAATTTGTTTATCATATATTGTTATATGCACTGTGACTATCTTTTGCTCATAATAAATATTAATTTATTAAGTTTTGCCTTTGTCTGGTTAAGAATCACGTTACCTGAAGAGACTAGTTAGTATTTTTGTAATTCCTTAAATATTGTGCTAAGTAATATTTGGTGGGTTTTATCATTGATTTACCTGGGGGACCAAGGCACCCCATTTATAAATTGTCTTGGTGGTGGCAGGGTTAAAATAGTAATAGTTATCTTATGTTTCAGTGTGGGTGGTGTTAAAAGGGGGATTTTGTCATTATTTCCAGTCTAGTGCAGACAAATAGTGAAGTTTAACCCTTTCACCATCACAACTACGTCACGCACACTCTTGGAGTAGGGCACCACCCCCTTTCAGCCCCTGCTCCTCCTTCTCCCCCCCTCTACAGCCACTGACCTCCTCTATAGCCCCTGTGTCCCCCTCTACATCCCATGTGGCCTCTCTATAGCAGCTGTCCCCCCCCCCTTTTAGCTCCCGTTCCACCCCTTTTAGCTCCCGTTCCACCTTCACAGCCCCTGTCCACACCCTCACAGCCCCTGTGCCCCCTCTACAGCCACTGTCCTCCTCTATAGCCCCTGTGCCGTCATCTACAGCCCCTGTGTTCCCCTCTATAGTCCATGTGGCCCCCTCTATAGCAGTGGCTGCGCCCCGTTTAGCTCCTGCAGGGGGGTTTAATACACTCCGTGCTGCAGGGGAATTAACCCCCAAAGCACGGAGAAATAACACTGCGCATGCGCGAGAGAAAAAAACAAGGAGGGAGCCTCCTTGTAATAATATTAATACCACCCCCCCCGCATTAAAACATATGGGGGTCACTATGACCATAATTAATTAAAAGGGGGACCTCATGTCCCCCCTAGTCCCCACCCATAAGCGGCGGGTGGGGACCTAATGTCTTCCCTGGTCCCCACCCATGAGCGGTGGGTAGGGACCGGAAATAAATAAATAATGGGGACCTTAATTAAATAAACAATGGGGGGACCTAATGTCCCCCCTGGTCCCCACCCATAAGCAGCGGGTAGGGACCCTAAATAAATAATGGGGGGACCTAATGTACCCTGCGGAGCTACAGACCAAATAAACTGCCACTGGACCACCAGGAATCATCGGGAGGGAGAGTAAATGTGGTGTGTGTGTGTGTGTGTGTGTTTGTGTGTGTGTGTGTGTGTATGTGTATATATATATATATATATATATATATATACACACATACACACAACATACAAAATCCACCTTGCTTGCTCATTCACTAAACAGCATGTTCAAGTCTAACAGAATCTAATAATTTTATTTATTTCCCTATTTATTGACCTGCAGTCACAGGGGGAAGCATTTCCCAAGTAAGTGGATGATCTGCCAAGAATAGGGTGCATTGATGTTGTGGCAGGCTTATGCAATGTATGATCATATAATGTAACCAAAATTTCCGTTATTTCTTGCCTAGGTGAGGTGTTTTCAAATAAAACTATAACATTCTGTGAAATTGCTGTTTAGTGAATAAACGAGTGCGCTGGATTTTTTATGTTGTATAAATTGGCCCCAGCGGCACCCTTACAAGTATGCATGTTCAGGGGTGAGTGGAGCCCTCTTGGTTTCATTCATATATATATATATACACACACACAATTTAGTAGAAGTTTTGCACTCCAGCTTTCCTCCTTTTAAATGGCCCGGTGCTCAACTGCACGAAAATATAGATTCCAAAAGAGAGCCAGCACTCAGACTTGAATGAAAAATATGAAGGCTTTTAATCCAAACAGTCAACGTTTCAGTTCACCATAGTGAACGTTCCTCAGGACATGATGTTGTTTGGATTAAAAGCCTTCATATTTTTCAAACAAGTCCTTGAGTGCTGGCTCTCTTTTGAAAAAAACCAAAAAATACATTAAAAAAATATATATATATATATATAACTATATATACACACACATTTTTTTTTTTTTTTAATGATAAAATTAATTAATTAAGCAACTATCCTACCCCCCTATTCACACACTACACATAATCTATACCCCTTGTATACACCCCCCTGCACTTACACACAAACACACTACACACACTCTATACCCCCTGTACACACACTACACACACTCGACACTCCCTATATTCACTACATCCCCTGCTCTTACACACACAAACTACACAAATTCTATACCCCTATAAACAGACTTCAGCTCCTGTGCTTACACACAAACAAACCACACACTCTATATTTCCACTACATCCCCTTCACTTACACACTACATACACTCTATGCCCCCTATATACACACTACACCCCCTGCACGTACACACACTGCGTACACTCTATACCTCTTATATAGACACACTACACCACAACACACTAAACACACTCTATACCTTTATACATACACTACACACCCTTCATACACAAACTCACTATCTGCACTCTATACCATATATAATACACTACACATTCTGCACTCACATATACACAGTACACAAACTACACCCCCTATGCATTCAAACACACACTGCTTTTGTGTCCCACATTGTCATACAAACATATACACACACTCATACTGACACATAGTTATACAAGCTTATACACACCCTCATATAGACACCAGGGAGCATTGTGTACAATTCTAGGGGACTCGACTCCCTGGTGCGGCAGGGGGCAGACAGTGGGCCAGATCCCATCATTTGCAGCAATTATGTAATAAAACTATTCTACAAATCCCTTTAATTCGTCTTTTCCTTTTGTCGGAGGGGTCTAATTGCGCTTACTAAGGCAGAGCTGCTACAGTAACAAATTCACAGTGGGTGGTTACTAGAAGTCTGATGAATATATTAATGTCCATCTAGTTACCATTGGAGACATGCTTAAGGATACCAAAAAAGGGGTTAGGAATCACTACTGTATAGGTATCAGTTTATTTAATTTACCCCTGTAATTGTCTGTTTTATCTGGCAAAATGTGAACCCTAGACTAGATAGTGAACAATATCCATCATATTGCTGATAGAATGTAGAAAATGATTTTTCACTGAAATTGACAGGTCACACTTGTGTAACTCAAGCCACTTCAAAGTGTGCCTCAAACACATTGACTTAGGGGCTGTCATAGGTTCAATGCAGTTCTTAAAACGTTTCTGTTGTTTACAACAAGCATGTCAAACTTGCGGCCTTAGGGGTGTGCGAACTGGGGGCCGTGGAACAGGGGTTGCCATGTGGCCGACACAGCCCGCACATGGCCAGTTACCCGGGTGGAGGATTTTTCCACCCGAGATTAGCAAAAAAACTCCCAGCATTGCTGTGAGGGGCGGGACTTACCTTGGGGCAGGGGCCTAAAATGTCTAAAATGAAGGCAGGGGCGGGGCTAAAAGTGCTGGCTGCATGGGAAGCAGGAAGGAGTCCCTGCTTCCCCAACAACCAGACCCCAGGAGCTGCACTGCCTTCACTCCTCCCAGACCATAAAGGACAGAGGTAACCATGTATGACTGTCTGTTTGTGAGTTTGTGTGAGTATGTGTAACTGTCTGCCTCTGTGTGTGTGGCTGTCTGCCTGTGTGTGTGTGTGTGTGTGTGAATACCTGTCTGCCTGTGTGTTTGTGTGGCTGTCTGCCTGTGTGTGTGTGTGAGTACCTGTGTGTGTGTGTGTGGCTGACTGCCTGAGTGTGTGTGTAACTGTGTGTATGTAACTATGCCTGTCTGTGTGTGTGTGTGTGTGTGTGGCTGTCTGCCTGTTTCTGTGACTGTCTGTATGTGTGACTGTGTGTGTGTCTGCCTGTGTGTGTGTGTGTGTGTGTGTGGCTGTCTGCCTCTGTATGTGTGAGTACCTGTGTGTGAGTGTGTGAGTGGCTGTCTGCCTGTGTGTGTATGTTTGACTGTCTGCCTGTGTGACTGTATGCCTGTGTGTGTGGCTGTCTGTGTGACTGTCTGCCTCTGTGTATGTAACTGTCTTCATGTAACTGTGTGTATGTGTATGAGACTGTATGTGTGGCTGTATGTATGTGACTGTCTATCTGCACCTGTGTGTGTTTGTCATTGTCTGCCTGTAAATGTGTGTATGTGTGTGTTACTGTCTGATTGTAATTGTGTGTGCGCAGGGGTGTATTTACCTCAAGGAAAACAAGGCATTTGCCTTGGGCGGCACTTTCTGGGGGGTGGCAAAAAAAGCCACCCCAATCGCCCTGGCAAATGCCTTGCCAGCCTTTTGTCCTGGGGGGCCCAGGAGCTGGCCGGGCCCCCCAGGTTGGCAGCAGAGCTTTCGGGGCGGGCGGCGAGGGAGCACTAATCCTCCTGTTCAGCTCCGCAGTGATGCCAGAGCCAGAATATAACGTCATTCCAGCTCCAGCATCACTACGTGGCACGCAAGGGAGCTGAACAGGAGTATTGGTGCTCCCTCGCCGCCTGCAGTGACCGGCCGGCCGCCCAGCAGCTCTGCAGCCCCAATGGACCCCAGGGATAGTGTTAATCCACCCCAGCATTCCCAAGGTAGGGAGGCTTGAATTAAAAAAAAATGTGAGTGTGTTAATGTGTGTGTCTGTTAGTGAGTGTGTTAATGTGTGTGTTAATGTGTGTTTCTGTTAGTTAGTGTGTGTGTGACTGTGTGTGTGTCTGCCTGTGTGTGTGTGTGTGTGTGTGGCTGTCTGCCTCTGTATGTGTGAGTACCTGTGTGTGAGTGTGTGAGTGGCTGTCTGCCTGTGTGTGTATGTTTGACTGTCTGCCTGTGTGACTGTATGCCTGTGTGTGTGGCTGTCTGTGTGACTGTCTGCCTCTGTGTATGTAACTGTCTTCATGTAACTGTGTGTATGTGTATGAGACTGTATGTGTGGCTGTATGTATGTGACTGTCTATCTGCACCTGTGTGTGTTTGTCATTGTCTGCCTGTAAATGTGTGTATGTGTGTGTTACTGTCTGATTGTAATTGTGTGTGCGCAGGGGTGTATTTACCTCAAGGAAAACAAGGCATTTGCCTTGGGCGGCACTTTCTGGGGGGTGGCAAAAAAAGCCACCCCAATCGCCCTGGCAAATGCCTTGCCAGCCTTTTGTCCTGGGGGGCCCAGGAGCTGGCCGGGCCCCCCAGGTTGGCAGCAGAGCTTTCGGGGCGGGCGGCGAGGGAGCACTAATCCTCCTGTTCAGCTCCGCAGTGATGCCAGAGCCAGAATATAACGTCATTCCAGCTCCAGCATCACTACGTGGCACGCAAGGGAGCTGAACAGGAGTATTGGTGCTCCCTCGCCGCCTGCAGTGACCGGCCGGCCGCCCAGCAGCTCTGCAGCCCCAATGGACCCCAGGGATAGTGTTAATCCACCCCAGCATTCCCAAGGTAGGGAGGCTTGAATTAAAAAAAAATGTGAGTGTGTTAATGTGTGTGTCTGTTAGTGAGTGTGTTAATGTGTGTGTTAATGTGTGTTTCTGTTAGTTAGTGTGTGTGTTTGTCTGTTAGTGAGTGTGTGTGTGTCTGTAAGTTAGTGAGTGTTTGTGTGTCTGTTAGTGAGTGTTTTGTGTGTCTGTTTGTTAGTGAGTGTGTGTGTCAGTTAGTGTGTGTGTTAGTGTGTGTGTGTTAGTTAGTGTGTGTGTGTCTGTTAGTGAGTGTGTGTGTCTGTTAGTGTGTGCGTGTCTGTTAGTGAGTGTGTGTGTGCGTGTGTCTGTTAGTTAGTGAGTGTGTGTGTGTCTGTTAGTGAGTGTGTGTCTGTTAGTGTGTTAGTTAGTGAGTGTGTGTGTGTGTCTGTTAGTGAGTGTGTGTCTGTTAGTGAGTGTGTGTCTGTTGGTGAGTGTGTGTTTGTGTGTGTGTGTCTGTTAGTGAGTGTGTGTCTGTTAGTGAGTGTGTGTCTGTTAGTTAGTGTGTGTGTTAGTGTGTGTGTGTGTGTCTGTCTGTTAGTGAGGTGTGTGTGTGTGTCAGTTAGTGATTGTGTGTTTGTGTGTGTCTGTTAGTTAGTGAGGTGTGTGTCTGTTAGTGAGTGTGTGTCTGTCAGTGAGTGTGTGTCTGTCAGTGAGTGTGTGTCTGTTCGTGTGTTTGTTAATGAGTGTGTGTGTGTTTGTGTGTGTCTGTTAGTGAGTGAGTGTGTGTGTGTTAGTGAGTGTGTGTTTTTAGAAAGGGAGGGGGCACGCATGGCGTGTGGGAGGGGTGTCTGAGTGTGTTTATCTGCCTGTAACTGTTTATGTGTGTAACTGCATGTAACTGTGTGTTTCTACCTGTAACTCTGTATTTGACAGTGTATATGTATAACTGTGTGCATCTGACTGTGGGACTGTGTGCATGTGACTCTGTAGTCTGACACATCTGGCATGCACTTCTGTTGGCTGCAGACTATAAGTAGCTGTCTTCCTAGCTCCGGCCAATCAGAGCACTGCTGCAGATTACCACAGGACACTGCAAGTCCCTGAGCTTGCGAGGTAGTGCCCCATGTCTCCCAGGTCTCAAAGTCACCCAGTGTCCCCATGTCTCTCAGTGTCCCCTAGTCACCCAGTGTCCCCTAGTGTTTGTATTCCCATGTCTCTCAGTGTCCCCTAGTCACCCAGTGTCCCCTAGTGTTTGTATTCCCATGTCTCCCAGTGTCCCTTAGAGTCTGTGTCCCCATGTCTCCCAGTGTCCCGATGTCACTAGGACACTAGGGGACACTTAGAGACATGGGGACAATGTGAGACATGGGGACACTGAGATACATGGGGACACAGACACCAGGGACACATGGGGACACTGAGACATGGGGACACAGAGACATTGGGAGAGACATTGGAACACTGAGATATGTCGGGACACTGAGAGACTAGGGACACAGACACTAAGACACTGAGAGACACCAGGGACACATGGGGACACTGAGAGACATCAGGGACACTGAGACACTAGGGACACTGGCTGGGAGACATGGGCCACTGGGAGACATGGGGCCACTGTGTCCCTAGTGTCCCAGGTTCCCCATGTTCCCCAGTGTACCTATGTCTCTTAGTGAATAATCTCTGTTTATACTGAGATAGACATTTGTATTGCCGGTATTACTGCAATACTGGCACCGGCTAGGCAGCCTCAAATACCTGAGAAATACTTCTGAGAAATATCTGGCAACCACAAGAAATAAATGAGAAATACCTGTGTGTTAAAAAAAAAAAAATCAATGGGCCTATTCCATGGGCCTGGGCCTGGGCCTGGAGCTGCAGCTCCATCAGCCCCATGTCAATCCGGCCCTGATTGCAGGTACCTACTCTGCTAAAATTTACCCGGCCAGGGAGGAAGCAGGATGCTGGCGGCAGCGAGGGAGCTCAGTCTTCCTGCTCCTCACTGCTCCCACGCGCACCGTCTGTAGTGATGCCAGGAGCCGGAATATGATGTCATATTCTGGCACCCGGCATCACTAAACTGCGCGCGAGGGAGCAGTGTGCAGCAGGAAGGAGACCCCTGAGAGAAGATCCCCACTGGACCCCAGGGAATGATGTGAGTGTGTGCAAGAATGTGTAAGTGTGTCTGTCAGTGAGTGTGTCTGTCTGCATGTTTGTCAGTGAGTGTGTCTGTCAGTGTGTGTGTGTGTGTGTGTCAGTCAGTGCTGCGATGGCTGCGGCTGGATAGTGGAGTACCCAGAGGTGCACAGAGGCACGCAACACCACATTCTGACGTCGACCTGCTCCACCTTTACAGGGTTTCACGAAGTAGCGGGCAGATCCGCTTTGGCACAGAGTGATCTTTGGGGTATACCAGAGGCCGGACTCCTGAGTCGCATACTGGCAGCGGCAATGTGAGTGGAGTCTGCTTGATGGTTAGAGGGGGGTGCTGGGACTTAGTACGGGGGGGGACAAGACTGGGATTTAGTATATGGGGGGCACTGGGATTTAGTAGAGGGAGGGACTGGGGGTTTTTTATACTGTACTTTTCAAAATAAACCTATGTTTCTATGAAAATTTAAGTTGTTGTTTTATTTTGTGGCCCACATGAACTTAAACCTTGTTTATCTGGCCTGTGCTAGTCTTTGAGTTTGACATGCTTGTTTTACACTATGTTCCAGCATTAGACTTTCGTATCACATCTGGCAATTAATTACAACTGATAAGTAAACTTAACTAAACGTATGTATAGTTCTACAGTAAAGCTTAAAGTGTGACATTTATAAGTTGCTGATGAAGGTAAAAAAATTTTATTTCAAAATAGGTTTGCCATGGATTTTTTTTTGGGGGGGGGGGAACCAGCTACGTAGAATATTTTTCTGTGATTTAATATAAAATATTGAGGCTAGCAATCCTACACCACCGTTTAAATACAGTATATACACATTTAGTGAGCACCTGGCAATTTCAGACAGTGTGATGACAGATTCATTAAATATATACTCACTTATCATAAAGATAGAATGATACACCCTCCTTCATTCCTAATAAAATATTCAGAGTTCCATTGAGAACTTATAAGTTTTATGAGAGCAAAAAAAAACCAATAATTATTTTTGGGAGGGTTTTTTTATATATATTTTTGCTGAGAAATAACAGATACACAACGTTTCTGGAAATGTTCAGAGCTGATCCTTACCTCTGAGAGATCTGCACACAGGTGTTTTCAGGACAAAACGTGTTTCTGTTGAGATAAACCCTGAGGGAAGATTGGAAGAAAGGAGGGAGTGGGGGGAAATCTCCTCCCCTGACTGCACTCATAGACATAGAACACTGACCAGAATTCCAATCACATGGGCAGTAGTTTATCATTAACAGTGAGGAGGGCACTCTGCATGTGTCTATAAATGGTCTGTATGGGGGAGGAGGTGTATTGACTTCCATATACCAGAAAGGCATTCCAAGCAGTCAGAGCAATGAATATCATTTACTGTGGGTGTTTAAAATGTTGTAAAATACAGAAACTGTGAAAATGATCAAAATATTATTTATTGTTCATTCATCATATTTGCATTTACTAAATTTTGAATGAATGTGAATGCTTGGGTTTTTATTTTTTACAACTACTTTTTTTATTTATTTTTTGCTGTGCAGGTAAAAAAGAAATTACAAACTGGCTCCAGGTACCCCAACGGCATTCCTTGAGCTGCTTGGCTTGTATAACAAATAGGGTAGTTGCTAGGCATTGCACATTTTTTGGTAAATTAGGTGCAAGATAAAGTTACATGCAGGCAGTATATCCAGTTTACGTTTAGCTAGGTACATGCTTAGATATGAGAGATATAGCATCACCCCTTAGACTCCTATAGCTACATATGAATGCAAGTAGTAAGGCTAGAACATTAAGACAGGTACTATTTCGACACTGCCATAGTTATACTGAGACAGGTGAAGACTATTTAGGTCATATTTAGAGAGTCCCCTTGTGACTGGTTAATTCATGCCCTCTGTGGATTCAGCTTGTTCACGCTGTTGTCCAGTGGTCTGCCTGTGTTGTGGCTGCTGCGGGGCTGGTTGACAGGTGCTGCACGACAGACCGGGAGTGACCTGGACCCCAGTGTGGCATAGTGTGGAGTGGGGACTGATGATCCCTGCTGTTCGGGCAAGCGCTGGCTTGGCTTGCTGTGCCCCTTTTCTCGCCGCTAGTTGCTGTTCCATCCCCTTAACGGAGCCAGGAGCTTGAAGAGAGTCACCCAAGGTAGGTGTCCCGTTAGAGTGCCAGGATGCGTACGTGCGGCTGGACTTTGTGGGTGTCTGATCATTTGGTGCTGCTGAATTTTTTTTAAATTTCATGAGAACACAATGTTCATTGAATGGAAATAAAGTAATTCCCAGAAACTGCAGACTGCTCTGGTCACTTCTGTGTGTAGGCACAGGATCACGTTTTTTTAAATGTAATCAAGTACCAGTGACAGAATGCTTTCAGGTACCATTACGGATACATGTAGACACAGATATACACTCAGAGACGCACAAGTATACTCATTGTCAAACACACACTCTCAGACGTGCAGACTACAGAATGCCAGACATGTACATAGATACAGGTACCAATCATAGGCGTGCGCAGCCTATTGCATTAGGGTGTGCACCCTAAAGCACAAACACACGCCGCGCGCGCGTGTGTGTGTGTATATATATATATATATATATATATATATACACACACATATATATACATATATATATACGTATATATATATTCACAGACACACACACTCACACTCACAGAAACACACACATACTCACACACTCACAGACACACACACTCACTGACACACACACACTGACACATACTCACACACTCACTGACACACACACTCACAGACACATACTCACACACTCACAGACACACACTGACACACACTCACAGACACACACTGACACACACTCACAGACACATACTCACACACTCACAGACACACACACTGACACATACTCACACACTCACTGACACACACACTCACAGACACATACTCACACACTCACAGACACACACTCACAGACTCACAGACACATACTCACAGACTCACAGACACATACTCACAGACTCACAGACACACACTCACAGACTCACAGACACATACTCACACACTCACTCACTGACACACACTCAGACACACACTGACACACACTCACAGACACACACTCACAGACACACACTGACACACTCACAGACACACACTGACACATACTCACACACTCACAGACACACACTCACAGACTCACAGACACATACTCACAGACACACACTCACAGACTCACAGACACATACTCACACACTCACTCACTGACACACACACTGACACACACACACACACACTGACACACACTCACTGACACATACTCACAGACACACACACACACTGACACACAAATTATTATATTTTAATTTTTTTTTTTAAATGTCCACCCAGCCTCCTACCTGGAGTGCTGGTGGACTTGTCCCTGGGGTCCAGTGGGGGCGGGCGCCTCTCTGCAGCTCAGCTCTCTGCTCTCTGCTTCCTCTCGCCGCGCGGGCTGTCTGCTCGAGCTGGGAGCCGGAATATGACGTCATATTCCGGCTCCCGGCATCAGCGCGCGGCGAGAGGGAGCAGAGAGCAGAGAGCAGAGAGCTCCCTCGCCGCGCGCTGAGCTGCAGGGTGGGGGGGAATCATCACCTCTTGCCCTCCCATGACAGTGGCAAGAGGTGAGACGGGGGACACTGAGTGCCTGCAGGAACAGCGTTCCTGCTCAAAAGAGTGCAGGAACGCTGTTCCTGCAGGACTCAAACCATAGGGGTGCGCACGGGGATTAGGGTGTGCCCAGGCACACCCGGCACACCCCGTGCGCACGCCTATGGTACCAATACACAATACAAATGACTGCTGTCCGAGGAAATCCCAAAACTGACCCTTACCTCATAATTAATACACAAACACAATATTTATTGGTTAAGGGCATAGGCAACACGCAGCTTCATTGAGTTAAAGCACATAAACTTAGCAACACCTAAATCTATCCTGCTGCAAAGAAGACAGGTAACAGAAATTCCTGAGCTCTAGCTCTGTTCCCAGACAGATATGTGATAAAAGGTCACGCCTTCTCTTCCCTGAGCCGCCGGTGTTCCATCAAAATCCCCTACCCTGTGAAAATCCCCTCCACTTGTCACTTCAGGTGAGGGAAATCAGCTGGATCCTGTGCTAGCACTCCTGCTACTCCTCCACAGCAAGATCCTGGAAGGTAAGTAAAGCTAGTTTTACACTTTCATTATAGTTAGTGCATTCACTAAGCTTAGGCACATGGGACATTTAGGGTTAAAGGACCACTATAGTGCCAGGAAAACATACTCGTTTTCCTGGCACTATAGTGCCCTGAGGGTGCCCCCACCCTCAGGGTCCCCCTCCCAGCTCTGGAAGGGGGAAAGGTGTTTAAACTTACCTTTTTCCAGCGCTGGGCGGAGAGCTCTCCTCCTTCTCTTCTCCTCCGTTCCTCCTCCTGGGCTGAATGCGCACGCGCGGCAAGAGCTGCGCGCGCATTCAGCCCGTCGCATAGGAAAGCATTTACAATGAAAGCATTTGAATGAAAATCACAGTGAGAAGCACGCAAGCGCCTCTAGTGGCTGTCAATGAGACAGCCACTAGAGGATTAGGGGGAAGGCTTAACCCATTCATAAACATAGCAGTTTCTCTGAAACTGCTATGTTTATAAAAAAATGGGTTAACCCTAGCTGGACCTGGCACCCAGACCACTTCATTAAGCTCACTATGAGGCGGAACCAGCCTCGCCACTGGGCATTGGAGAAGACTGATTGCCAGTCTCCTGCCATGTAACTATGGCCCCTGGAATATATTGCCCTTTAAAGACATTATTTGGGCTTATTGCATTTTGAAACACTTTTTCTGCCCCTTTGAATACATGGGTAGGTGTGCCCCTCCCCCGTTTCCTGTCTATTGTTCTCCAGCAGGGCGTTGTCCCAGGGACACTGCCAGACCAGTTGGAACTTGCTGTTTTGCCCTTCCTCTGTCTCTCATCAGCCCTTGCTATGGTTTAACCCCATGGCGATTTGACTGTGTTTGTGGGATCTGAGCGCTGTTTGGATATATTGAGCGCTCAGATCCAAGCCATCTGGGGATAGGTTGAATGTGGGGGTTCTGTTCAGTATGATAGGAGTTATGTATTTTTGTGTATTTTTGCTGTTGTGAATAGAGATATTTTCTGTACCTGGAGATAGTTGGCTTACCAAACCCAGTTAAGCCAATTATCTCCAGGATAGAGGACTCTGTGGAACTGGTTTGGGCTGGAAAAGCCATGCTTCAGTGGTCACAAAGGACTTTCGACCTAACTTTTGAACCACTGGACCAATTTGTATGATTTTGACATATGTGATGTATACTTTTAAAGTTATGAATATTGTGTATTTTCATGCCTGTGATAATTACGTTAGCCCAATGTGTTCAGTAATTATATCACAGGCAGAGGGGAGAATTTTGTGTGTAATTGCTGGGAGTGTCTGAGTGTATTGTATGAATTGATTGGTTGTTTTGCAAAACCCTGTGGGCAGTACTATGTGTGTAAAATGTGCGTAAAGGCAGAGTGCTTGATTAAAAGTTTCAGTTCTACTTCACCCTCAATTTGGAGTGCCATCTCTTATTGGGGGAATCTGCTACAAGGGATTGCTATGCTTGTCATACTCCCTTGCTAAATCACTATCTTGTAAGAGCGTGTTCCTGCCTTGCTCTCTGGAGGAGTCTATGGTGGTTATGGTGTCTGCTGGAGTGCTTGGAGTCCTCAGGAAGCGCTAGGAGCATCCTTCAATGGAGGTACCCAGTCAGGGTGCCCGTCGATCCATTACACACTAAATAAAAACAGTCCCTAATCCCAACCCTAATTTCAACCCTAACATTAACCCTAAATGTCCCATGTCCTAAGCTTAGTGAATGCACTAACTATAATGAAAGTGTAAAACTAGCTTTACTTACCTTCCAGGACCTTGCTGTGCAGCACAGGATCCAGCTGATTTCCCTCACCGGAGGTGATGAGGGTAGGAGAGGGAATTTTCACGGGTAGGGAAATTTGATGGAACACCGACACTTGGGTGGTGCAATCCCCACAAGAGATATAATGTACAGTAACTCCTCGAAAGGGTAGTTCTTCCCAGAATACAGGTAGCATGCAAGCAATGGTGGTATAGATGTGCCAGGAACAGTAAAAATAAAATATAAAATAACACAACATGTTTCATCTACTAAGGACTTTCTCAAGTGTAAATACGGTAAAAATATGGTATGTGCATGTATCAGAGTGTATATATTGTGATACAGCAACCACACTTTCACTTATGATTCAAAGATACTACAACAAACGGCCAGCTCTTAGTGGATTTTCGAAACATTCAGTGATCCGAACTGTCCCTGATTGAACAACCCAATAAACAAACTAACAGCATTCAAGGCTTCCCTGCTGTCAGCAGTTCAAACCAAATAAAGAGTCAGCAGCCTGAGAATTGACCTATTATACCTATTATACTATAAGTACCCAGACCACTTCAGCTCATTGAAGTAGAGTGGGTGCACATCAGGAAGTGCACATCAGGAAGTGAGTGGATAGCTATGAAGGATTCTGTGTCCTAACTACCTCCCCTCCACTACCCTTCCAGTTAAGCTGTGACAATATGCACATGGGTGTATTAGTGTGTCTATTTGAGTGCATGTCCAAAGTGGCAACATGACTGAGGGTGATATGGTGTGAGAGTGCAGGGCTGCCATCAGACATTTTTGGGCCCTTAATGCAACTCATTGTCAGGGCCCGCCTCCAAATCCACCCGCAAGGAAGTGGTGTTTGTAGAGTGGATACAGGGTGTGTGTTTTGTGGATGCACTGTATGTTTGTGTATTGACTGCAGTGTTTGTAAAGTGCAGTGTATGTAGTGGATTCTCTACGTGTGTGTGTGTGTGTATATATGTGTATATCTATCCAGGCTGTACACCGATTGTTCTGTCTGGTCTTGTGACTGCTTGGTCTACCAGTAATTGGTGTTGTGTTGTTTACAATCCCCTTCTGAGTATTGCTCATATATTGACTCATATGCCCTTGGATCTTGGAGGCTATGATTCCTGACAGGAGTTTCCATGTTATGGGGAGGCAGGTTATTGGTTGGTAGTTGGATGGTGCTGTTCCCTTGTGAGGATCCTTCATGACCAATATTGTTCTGCCTTCTGTTAGCCAGTCAGGGTAGGAGCCTGTTGCTAGTAGCTGGTTCATTTGTGCTGCTAAGCGTTCATGCAGCGCTGTTAACTTATTTATCCAGTAGTT